TAGGTATATATTAGGCAAGTAATCTTATATAGGCTAACTAAGAGGAAGTTTATTTAACTATTTTAAAGAATCTTATAAGACTTATTTAATTACCTAAATAGCTATAATAATTTAAGCTAGATTCTAATAATTAAAGACAAATTTAGTAAAAAGCTCTTTAGATACCTTTTATAAAATAAAGGGAATTTAGTAATATTTAATATAATTAGGGATTTTAAGTAATAGGTATATAAGTAATATAATCTTTTAATTACTTATATTAAGTATAATTAGGAGAAAGCAGTTATTCTAATTTAAGAAATATTAGCCTATTAGATTTAGGTAAAGAAAAAAGGCATTAAAATCAAGCTTTCTTTTTTATATATATATAAACCAAATAGTAGTATTAAGTAAATAGGGCAGGAGATTATAAATAAGGCTATTATAATATACTTAATAGCTAATTTGCCTGAAAAGCTATAACTAGAGAGCTTTATAGCTATAATTTATTTATATAATTAGAGTCTTTTATATATAAATTACTAGAGAATACTAAATAAGGTACTCGATTTATAATTCCGTAATTATTTCCGTTAGTATAATCCAGAGCTTATAGCTCGAATAATAGTTAATCTTAGGCCTAATTAAAATAGAATCTATATATATAGTTCTAAAATATATCTAATAATTAAGAACTATAAAGCAGGACGAAATAAGAAAGTATTTAAGGTTATATTATATAAATATATCGGATATTTAGTTAGATATATTATATCTAATATTTATAAAATCTGGGTTCTTATATTTAATAAAGTAATTATTATATATAATATTATATTTAATAAGAATATATTTTATAAAAAGAATTATAAATATACTAAAGGCCATAGTATAGAGATTATAAAGGATATAGTAGAACTACTTCTAGAGAATAAAATTTAGGATACTAAATTAATTTTTAAAAATAAGGAATTATAGTATAATAGCTTATTAAAATAAATAGAAAATAAGTCTAAACTAGGAAATAATAAGTAAATAAACTAATAATTAAAAGAGCCTATAAATATACTAATTAGTTATAACTCGGAAATAGGAAGTTTTATAGCCTTACTAGAAATAGAACTTATAATTCTATAAAGTACTCTAGAGCTAGAAAGTATACTAGAGCTAAGAAATAATAAAAATAAAAGTACTAAGCTCTTAAGAAGGCTTAGTACTATAAAGAGAGATATAATAAAGTATACCAGAACTATTAGGGAAATATACTAAATTAATAAAAGTAAAGAAGAATTTCCTTAGGACTAGTAATAAGGTTTATTAATAGCTCCTATAAGTAAAGCAGGAAGCTTACCTATAAAATAAGTAAATAGCTTAATAGAAATAGGAGAATCTTCTATAAAAAAAAGTAAATAGCTTAGCTAAAATAGAAGATTAAATAGTAAAACTAAAGAGAAAATAGATAAAAAAGCTAATTATTAGAACTAGAAAAGGGCTAATTCAAATATACTTATATAAAAGAAATAATTAGAACGGAAATCCAGGTAAAGCTAGTAGTAATATAATTACTATAATAAGCGCACTATTATAAATAATAAGTAAATTAAATTAGATTAATTACTTAGAGTCTTTTTTAGGGTTTCTCTAGCCTAATTAGCTAGAGAATTATAAAAAGAAATTTAATTATAAGATTATATATACCATGATTATAATAGTAGTTTAATTAAGAATATATCTAGAATAAAGTACTTTAAATAGTATAATAATAAGAAAAATTTATATTAATAATTTTCTAAAGGCTCTAAAAATATGAAATAATCTAGAGAAGTACCTAGCTAGAAAATACTTTAAATTAAATACTAAACTAGAGATTAATAACTTTAAAGCTCGAAATTACTAGAGAATTATTTCTAGTAATAAAATAAGTATATCTCTAATTTCTTTAAAATAGGTATTTATATATAAAATTAATTTTAATAGATATATTACTCGGTATTATTTAAGGCTAGTAGTTTATAGAGATCTTTAAGAGAAGGTATTATTCTTGTCTATATATACTACTATATTTATAATAAAGTCTTTTTAAGTAGCTAGTATAATTATAGCTTATTTTAATCTGGAAATAAAGTAATTTAATATTATAAATATATTTATTAATATAAAAAGAGATTCTAATAGGCCTATAGTAATATATAAGCTACTAGATAGTTTTAAGATACTAAGATATATAGCAAAAGTAAATTAAGCTTTATATAGGCTATGAGATTCTCTTACTCTATAATATAAGTACTAGATAAATACTCTTAAGAGAATTAGACTTTCTGAACTTAATAAAAAGCCCTATATTTATATAAATATAGATTATAAGGTCTTTATTATTTTCTATATAAATGACTTCTAAGTACTTTATTATAAGAATAATAAAGTACATACTTAATTAATTATTACTTAGATTAAAATAGTTTATAAGCTTTATAATATATAGGATATAGAATAGTTTCTAAGAATTCATATAATTAGAGATCGGAAGACTAAAAAGCTCTAGCTAGTTTATAATACTTATATTAAGAAGATTACTAAGAAATTTAAGATAATAAATAGGAAGTGCCCTAGTATTTTATTACCTGAAATTAATCTTTAGAAATATAGTAATTAAGCTTATTTATATTAAATTAAAATATATTAGGAGAAGATTAGATTACTACTTTATACTATAATTATAATTAGGGCAAATATAGCTTTTACTATTTTAGTACTCTCTTAGTTCTTAATAAATCCTATTTTAGAGTATTTTATAATTATAGATTAGGCTTTCTAATATTTGTTTAGAATCCGGTTCTTAGTAATTTAGTATAATAGGAAATATAGAAAGATATAGTTATAGATTATATCTAATACTTTATATATAAATAACCTGGATATATAATAATTAAGCTATAGGTATATAATTTCCTTATTTAGAGGTTTAATATTATAGAAAGCTACTTAATAGAGCTTTATAACTATTTCTTTAACCAAATCAGAAATATATAAAGTCGCTTATATAGTAAAGGAAACTATAGCTCTCTAGAAGCTATTTAGAGATCTATATTTAGATCTTAGAAAGCTCTGAACTATATTCTATAATAATAAGTAAATTATTTAACTAATTATTAGAGAGAATAGAAGAATTATTATAAAGCTCTATTATATTAATATTTAGAATATATAGCTATATTAAAAGTATAATAAAGATATATTTTAAGTTATATATCTTTAAATAAGTAATATATTAGTAGATAAACTTATAAAAAATCTACCCTAATTCAAATTCGAAAACTTTAGAGCTTTATTAAATCTTTAGAATATTAAAGTAAAAATTAAAATAATTAAATAATATAAAAAGAGGCTTTTATTTATACCTTTTATTTATAAAATTTATTAAAATAATAGAGCTTAAGAGCTAATAGCAGGAGATCTAAAGGTATTTTACTATAGTATTAATAAGCTTATATAAAAGGCCCTTTACCTAATTAAACTACTTCTTATTCCTATTAATAGCCTTTTAAATCTTAGTAGAAAAGCTCTTACTATTATTTTCTTTATTAGATTTAGTAATCTTAAGTATAGTATAAATAAAGTACCTAAGAGCAGACAAATGCTTTAAAATAGTCAGAATCTATAAAAGAGAATTAAGAAAAGAGAGCTTATGGTATTTTTAATAATTAGAAGTTCTATAAGAAAGAGTTATATAATAGGGATATAAGAGATTAGAATAACTAAATAAGAATAACTAGAAGTATATTTCTAGTAATAAGAACCTCGACTAATAGTATTATAGCAAGAACTATTACTCTTGCCTTTTAGAGTAAATAAGACTATATTAAGTTAAAACGAGCTTTGGAATAGTATAGAGAACTTATAATAACCCATATAAGGAATCTCTCTAAGACTAGTATAAGTAGGACGAGAAGTACGAGGCTTTAATATAGACTTCTTTATCTTTAATAGAGAGGTACTAGGAGTATTAGAAGATACTATAGGGATCTAAACCTTAATATTCTATTAAAAGTGAGCTTTATATTAATAGTTAAGAGCTATACTTACGGCGGACTTGCGAGCTACTTAATGCTATCTAAAGTTAGTAAAAGGTAAAGTAAGAACGTGTTTTGGATTAAAAATACCTTGGATTTGCGAGCCGGAATTAACTTAATAGTAGTGCGAGAAGAGATAGAAGCCATGTTTATAATAATCGGAAGCTTGGGAAGGGATCTCTGGAAGGGTATCAAAGAAGAGTGTTTGATTAGAGGCTCTGGAGTTAGTAAAAAGGGGGGGTTTATATAGGGATTCCCTGGAATTCGGTAATCTGGGGAAATGATATGTACTAAGCCTATTCGGATCGGAATATTAATACGGCTCTGCAAAACCCATATATCGGACGAATTTCGCCATTTCAAAGCTCTCTAATTAGGCAAAACAGGTAGAATACGGTATCGTGCCTTCCTGGGGGGTGTATCGCAGTGAGAATCACTGAATTAGGGCTAGCGCGATCGCTCTGCTTAGTCAGGATCTGTGTACTCACTTCCTGAAGCTTCATACTTCACTCAAGCTCTTTTCTAGTTAGTTCAATGAACTCTTTTACCATTCAATGCAACTCCCTACTCTGCGATCTTTACGTGCATTACCAAGCATGGTCAATACACTACGTATAGATCCAGGGACCACGCATCGTAGCCGCCCTCTATGGCAGATATAGTAAGTAAAGCGATTGATTGCTTGAAATATACGACTGGTGCTGATACTAATCTAGCAAACTGCCTATCCTCTCCCGAAGAATATGTTGCCGCAAGATATCGAGGGAAGCCGTTCTAAAAGAGAAACAAACTGCCTCGGAAGAATAAGGAGGATGCAAGAGTCATACACGATGGGCAGACTGCGAGAGGAATAGATGACCAGTAATTTTGCAAAATAAAAATAATACTACTATGCACTTTAGTCAATGGAGCCCAAAGCCCTCATTCTCTATTCCGGGAGCCAAACTACTCCTAGAATCTTTCTTCCCGGGAGTTAAAACCAGTCGTTGAGCTCTTACCAATTGAAGGCGCGACGTTGTCAAGCCCGTCGTCCGGGAGTAGCGACTCCTCTTGGGCAAGTATATCCTCGAAGCTTAGCAGCGGACTGTGGTGGTGTGACAGATCTACGGCCATAGCGATGAAGTTAGGTGATATGTCGCAGAGATCGTCGTCTTCGATGTCGCTCTCGCCCGGGCTCGACATTACCGTATCTCCATCGATGGACTCTTCGTCATCGTAGCCGCAGGCCGATCTGTTATTCTCTGTGCTATTAGCAGCTGTTTGTAGTGATTCATTTGAAAGTAGAGCAGGATCGCAGCACGATCCAACTGCCCATTGACCGCCAGAGCTTAGATTAGTGCCAACATAGGTGTTGAAACACAGATGAGGTAAGTGAGGGTGAAACAACGCACTACACGATTGGTTAGGCTTGGGAGACGTCTCCCACGCAAGCGAGGAGCCTCGAGGGGCTGGCCATATCCTAGGGTTCCTGGTGGGGTACAACGTGGCTGACATTCGTGGCTGGGATTGCACGTGGCCTGCAGATCGTATCATCCGATGATTGTTCAAGCCTCGATCAGGCGACTGCTAAATGGTGGCACCACCCTGTAATTCTAGCTGGTTCGCCGGTGGAAACCCTGTAATCAGGTGCTAATTGAGGTATTCAGGTGCCAATTAACGTTTAAAAGGCCATGCAGGGAGTAGGTCACTGAATTAGGGGTAGTTGAATCGGAAATTGGGGTCCGCTAAATCAGGTGGTCGCTTAATTGGGAGGTCGAGATCCCTGGATAGGAGGTTGCTAAATCAGCACAAAGGGGTTTGAGGGTTACCACGCCTGACTGCAGTGGTATACCTAACTCCTATATTTTTGGCCACATCTACCTTCGTACGACTACTACTAATTGGGTATATATAAAGGCCAGTACTAGTAGAATAAGTCATAGCATCTTGGATCTTGAGTGGCACTTACTAAAGGAGAACTCGAGAACCATAGAAGTTACGGGCTATATATTAAGTCAAAATGAGTTCGGTTATTAATATACTATATCCAAGCTATATAGTTACTTTTCTAACTTCTCTCTAGCCAGAATCTGCCCCTATAGTTAATATAATCGACTTTAAAGAAGCCCCGCAAATACCTATAACAAGTAATATTAATACTACTAATACTTATAACTAGTACTATTATACTAATATTATCGAGTAAGAACTTTCCATTAAGCGTACCAAATTCTAGCGGGAATAAGCAGAAGACTTAGTAATTTCAAGCCTAGATTAATGAGTATATAGAGGCATTAGTATACTCTATAGATAATTATAGATAAGCGAGAAGCTACTATTAGTTACTCTCGAATATAAACTGGGTCCTCTCTTACAAGGTTAGGAAGCTAAGGCTAGTGGTATAGACTTTAGAGAGAGTAATCTATCTGCTTTATACTATTAATAATAGTAGGATACTACTATATTGCCTAATAAAGAAATAGCTATTAGTTAATACTAGAATTAATCTTTATACTAGTTAGTAGTAGTTTTTAATAATAATAAGATACTATTTTTAATAGTATATTATAGGAGAAGAATGAAGTTACTTAAATATATTATTTACCTTTAAGTACTATCTCTCTTTATTACTTTCTTCTTTTATAATATTCTTGAAATAGTACTACTAAAGTACTAGAGAGTAAATGCATTCCTTATTATTATATCTGCTATTCTTAGTCTTAGGCTACTAATATCTATATAATTTCCTATAATACTAGTATATTAGATAAGAGGGAATTAAAACCTTATCTGCCCGTTTAGTAGCCCTAAGATATCTATTAAAATGAGCCCAGGCTCCAGGTCTAATATAAGAACCCGATATGAGATAATTACTAGGAACTCGGATAGGGCGGTCTGAATTATAACTTATAGGTACTTGCTTTCTCCTTTCATACTTAGATATAATATATTAATCTAGCGCTTTTGTATCTGAATTAGTCTTAGCGAATTTCTCCGGTGGATCTAATCTCAAGGATCTGAAAGGCCTACTTATATACTTTGATATTAATTGACTGCTACTTACAGGTCGTATTACTAATAAGTTATCCAAGCTCTTTCCCCTCTCAGTTTCGGGCGAGCCTTTTAAAAAGCGGTTCTAATCTTCCGACATCTAGCTATTTTAATAGTAGTCTTTATATGTCTTATAAAGATATTTGTAATTATCCTCTCCAAAGTAGTCCCCGTTATAGATAACTATAATCTCTTTACCGATTCTAATATCCCTAGTAGTAATAACCTTTATCCCGGCTATCCTAGTAGTAATAAGTCGAGTATTTGCTTTATAGTTATAATTTGCAAAGTATATAGGTATAAATAAGAAAGAAGTGGCTTTATTTCAAGTTATTATTATAATACTAAAGCCAAGGCCCCTTTAATTAAGGTCGGTCTCTTTCTTATCCGTTAAGATAACCCATATCCTGCAAAGATATTTAATTTCTTTGCTTTTCCTAATTAGTTTCCGTAAAATAATTATTGCCTTATATATAGTAAGTATATATTAATTCGTACCCGAAATCTCGAAGGTATAGTCTAGTAAGTAGAGACTAAGATATCTTCTTATATACTGCCAGAAACTATTCTTTTTTATAACTAACTTGAAATTATCTGAGAATCTCTTGAGATTAGGAAGTATAAATAGCTAGTATTCCGCTTATAAAAGATTCTTACCTTTAATAATAATGTCTTATAATATTAATATTATACTTTACTAATCTTTATAAGTTAAGTAATATATATTATAATACTTCCGAATAGCCCCCTAGTAGTAAATCTATTTAAATATAAGCCTTAGCTTATTTATAATCGGGTTTATTTATAGAATAGTAACTTATATAGTTTATAAATATATCTATAAATATATTATTATAAGTAACTAGCTATTAGAGAAAAAGGGAATACAGATTTGGTAATAAAAGTATAGGAAGTATAGCAATTCTATATTCTATTAGAGGTTTAATAAGTAAAGGCGAGTTATCTATAAGCTTATAGATAGTCTGAGGCCGTCCCTAATTCTTCTAGCTCTTCTTATTAATTTAATGCTTTTTACTAAGTAGTCTCTTACTAGAAGCCGTTAGCTTTTGCGGGTTAATAGAGTTATTAATTACTATTAGCTAGCCTTTTCTATAATAAGTAATATTTAATAGTATAGTATTTGGGCCTCCTATCTCGAGAACTCTTTTAAAGGCATATCTTTCTTTTCTCTAATTTAGAAGTCGCAGTCGAATCATTAATTACTATTAGTTAGTCTTTTCTATAATAAGTAATACTTAATAATATAGTATTTGGGCTTCTTACCTTAAGAATTCTCTAGAAGGTATGCCTTCTTCTTCCCTGACTTGAAGGTTACGGTCAAGTTATTACTAGTCTTCTAATTCCTATTTATATTATTGCCTGTTTAAAGTATGCCTCTATTATTATAGTAATTTACTAAGTCGGATTTGGCAAATAGTATATTTATAGCCTGGAATTCTAAGGGTATTTGAAAAGATAGAAAGGGTACTAGAAATAAGGCAAACTTAAGGGAGGCATACTATACTCTTATATTTAAATAGAGGATATAGTAGTATAGTTATAAAAAGGGCTCCAGGATTCACTCAATTATATAAACCTATTATTAGATATCTTTAGCTCAGAGATACTAACCCCTTAGAAAATAGCTAGAAAGAGGCCTATATTATTAGTTTATATATTAGTTACTTCTAGTAAGTACAAGTATATAGAATATATCTATATCTAATACTTTTATAAAGTATATTTAATATTATAGTAGTCTTCCGACTTTAACTAATAATAAAGAAAAGTACTATTATATAAACTCAGATCCAGAAAGTAATTATAATAAAATAGGGTTATTAGCTAAAAATAATACAAGGTAGTATTCCTAAAGTAAGTCGAATAAGGATTCTGCTCTTGAGTAATAATAAGGGGTTTAATAGAGTGCTCCGGTATTAGTAGAGACCTAGTAAGTTCTAGATATGCTATAGTCGGAGCTATTTCAATACTAGAGGAAATCGTAAAGTCTATTTATATTAAGGAATTCTTTATTTTATCCGTTTATTAGGCAAAATATTAAAGAAATAAACTTACTAAGATATAAGAGATAGTTTAAATAGTATAGCTAATATAGAGGTGGCCTGCTTTCAAGATAAAAGGCCTGCTATTACTACTATATTACTAAATGCAAGCTAAATACTATAAGGAGATTTTCCGGGCTCTGCCTATTTAATAATAGTAATCTAAAGCGATTACTATTTATTTTTAGTATTAAAAGGGATTATACTATAGGAGTAAAGCCAAGAGTACTTTTATATTACTCCTTCCATGGTATTCTTAATAGATAACTATAGAATAGTAACCTCTATTATAGTATAATTCGATACAAAGAAATATTAGAACTATAAACGTTATAGTACTGCCCTGCTATCCTCTATTAGTTACTATATTCGGTTTGGCCTCGTTTCTTGCTATTCTCACTTAATTAGAAGCCAATAGTATAAGTCCCTACTCGGTTATAGCTAGACTCTTAGAAGAAGAAGGGCCTCACTTATTTCCACCTAAGTAATTTCCTTCCTAAATTCCTGGTTAAGGTCTCTATAGCCTAGTATTGCCATTAGCTAAAGCTTGAGAGCAGAGACAAATATCTTATATTATTATAAGAGATTAATTCAGGTCCGAGAATTAAGTTATTAGTATTGGTTTTCTCTTTATAAAGTTAGTTGGGGAAGAAGACCTCTAAATAGCATTCGAAAACCTCTAACGTTAGAAGACCTTTGATTCTTTCTAGAGAAATAAGGGCGCGGGATCCGAGATAAAGTCCGAAAAGAACTTGTCTTGCATAATGAGCAAGCGGCTCCGGATTTGTAAGAGGTCTGCAATATTGGGAAATCCCTCTATCTTGATATATATATTCAAGCAAGAATGAAACTATTGCGCAAGTCCTATTGGTAACGTTTCCTCGAAGAATAAGACATAGGGAACTTACATCTGGATTCCCATCTGGATTTGTACTTGTCTCCAATCGTATTTGGCACCATACTGATATTGTCTTCTCCATAAGATTTCGAGTAAACCCAGCGCTCGATCCGCGTGCTGCAACTCTTATTAGTTTACTAATAGAATCGACTAGAGAGGATACGTACGTAAATGCAGAAGAGTAAGACACGGCTGACATTGCGCCGACTCGTGCGAACGCCCTAAAAATCAGATTTACACCGAGCCCCGCATTTTGAAGAGATAAGAGCCACCATCCGCAAACTCGTGCAAAATCATAACAACCACAATACTACTCGCAATCTTTAGCGTGGGATACGGCCACTCACCATGTCTTCTATACTATCTATCATCCAAATAGCTCTCACCCTAGTTCCTCTCCTCTTATGCACCAGAGCTACTGCAGCAGCAACACAATCTGCATCGACACCATCTCCCACAATATCAACATCCACCTCTTCTTCTTCTGCTTCCGGCTCCCAAGCCACGGGTAGCAGCAGCGTTCTTCATCCTACCCAAGGCGAGACCATCGTATACGGCTCGCAATATACAATTCAATGGACGCCACCAGCCATTCCGGGTAGCATTTCCATTGAACTCTGGGATGATGACGAGTGGTCCTGGGCGAGTACCTTTAATACGGGCGACTACAACATCACAGAGCCTGGGTCGCTGGTTGGCTGTGATGGCTGGATTGTTAACTCACAGTGTGGGAAGATAGCGAGAAGTGTGCCGAATAATGGAAGTTATGGTTTGTCTCGTCCTTTTCTACCCTTTGAAGGGGAGGGGGCGGCTATGCGACATGTGCTTGTTGACTTCCACTACTGACTTGTATGGGGGAGGGTGAATAGTGTGGAACATATCTTCTCCGATCATTGGCTATCAGACTCTTTCAGGGAAGTTTACTTACCATATGGCCATTTACATTCAGCAGTCGGATTACTTTGCGTTGCCGTCCAAGAATTCGTCCTGGCATGTGAGAAGTGGAACTTTCATACTCGCTCCTACGAGCAGTAGTTCCACCAGCAGCTCCGCCAGCAGTTCTGGGAGTAACACATTCCTCCCATCAACTACACTCCGCTCTAGCAGCGCAACACGTGTGGGTAGTGGACCAACTGCAACATCATCTGCTGGCGCGGGAGCGAGGACAGCCATGGACCAGTTGGGGTGGGGAGTTCTGGGCCTAATAGGAGTATTAGCAATTTGGTAGGCTTGTTTTGTGCTGCCACAATTGATTCAGTACGAGTAGAATCTTATCATGGATTTTGTTTCAGAGATAATATGTTTCTATAAGCTTTCGGGATCTTACTATACTTACATGGAACCTCTTTACAGTAAGCTTCGAATGCGGCTTCTTCCAAAACACACTTATGAAAACTTGGCCCCACTTTTAGCCGTGCAGCTTTGCCGCTTTCAGTAAGGCGTAGTTGCAGGGGTAGTGCTCCGAAGTACCTTAGTCATCATCGGCGCTGGTCATCGCTGCACCACGTCCGCAATTCCTATGCCGACTATTCGCACGTAGTTATTGCCAGCGTCATTTAAGTAGGGGCAAATAACAATTGAACTGCATTACGACATCAACGTGTTTGAGTTCACAAGACAGAGGGAAGTTTTAACCGAAAGTATTTCAGTTCATATGACCAAGACTATAGGGCCATTCAAAGTCTTTACTTGTCGTTAGTTTCATTAGGACATAGTTGTCCGTTGCAAAGCAGGGGTTCAAATGATTGTATTGTAGCTGACTGACTAAATAATAAGGAGCGTGATTTGAGAGCTCTTATAAGCTAGTAAAGAATGGAAGCCTGGAAAGGGAGCCTAGAATGGAAGCCTAGGATCCGCGATCAAAGCGTAGAAGGATCAGGAATCAGGATCACGAACTAGAAGAAGAAGACCCCTGTAAACCAACTGACAATAGTATATTATCACCTAATTAGTGCTGTAGTACCAACCTCTTATATAAGAGGTAAGATCTTCTAAGGAAACCGAATCCAATTCAATAGTCAACGGTAGGAACTCCTTAAAGCCCCTTCCCACTATAGCCTGGAATTTCCACATAAGCCCTACTATTCATCCTGCTAAAGCCTCTCCCCGTCAACGGCGTATCTTCATCTACTCCGACTCCAAACCCTGCAACTTCTCTCGGCCCCCCCTGGTTGGGCCTACCTCTCTTAAACTCTTTATACACATTGTGCATCGACCTAACAAGCATCACATTAAAATCCGGAAAAGCCCACCGGAATATCGGATGAAATAGCGCGCTAATCACTGAGTCTAGCCTTAGGTGCTGAAGAGCAGAATGAAGATTCGCTCTCACTTGGCGAGGCTGCCCATCTAGCTCGATTGTTTGAAGCGGGAATTCGGGACCCTGATAAGATAATGCTTCGTACGCAGGTATCTGGGAGAGCCTGGCATGTTGGAGGGTGCAGGTTATGGGTGTGGACTCGGTGCCAGGGTTGAGGTGCAAGAGCCTGATCTCATCTTCCTCTTGGAGAGCGGTGTACAACGCCGGAGGGGAAGTTGCTGGCAGCATAGGCAATGAAGGCCCTGACGGTCGTTGTGAGATCAAATCATCGAAATGATCCTGCATCTTGGTGGAAGCATTTGAGATACTGAGAAATAAAGTTCGTGTGTGGTGAGGGTAAATTTGTAGGCTTGTCTTGAGGCTATAATGAAGCATTGACAACACGTGCTCGCGCCACTCCGCTTAGCATTCCCAATGGGCTTTGTGGCTTCAAGAATTGAAGCTAGGTGATTGGAAATGTCTGGCATTAGGTAAAGCTTTCTACATTGGGCCTTGAAAACTGAATGTCCCGCTGAATATTTCCTGTCCCATGCCGCCATACGAAGTTCAACTATTCAAGCCTCAGCGACTGGGCCTTGTACTCCAGGAGGAGACGCTGGTGGGCCATCCACATCTGCACCTCTTCTCACAGCGCCATCACTATTCTCTCCTGTTATAACCTTGAATGTAACTTGAAAAGTTACTTGCCCTGCTGAAAGACTCCAGAACTCGGTTCGGAAAAGGGCAATGGTCCGAAGGACCACCAACACTAGATGAAGGAGGCTACTCGACCATTAGCAGGGCTTGTGCCTCATAGTCAATAGCAAACGAGGATTTCAAAGCATGTAGAAAGCATCTGTCGACGAGATACAGTCACAAGAGAGGATCTAAAGCTTGAATGTTGCGCAGAAGAAACATACCCAATGATGAGCCCCAGCCCGTAAGCAATACTAAGTAGAACCCAGGTCGCTACCATCCAGCCACGACAACCTGGAGGAGGCGTTCCTCTATCTAGATCTGGAGGCCTCGGATATCCTACTTCCATCCTGCACATGTCGATGAATATGTAGCCCATAATCAGAGTAAAAGACCATGCAATGATGTAGAAGGAAAGTATGACGTCGACGATGAGGTTCAAGAGCACGGCAACGTTGATATTGAGGTTGATGATGGAAACGAAGGTTGCGATGAGTATCTATTTGATGTTAATTATGATTGGAAGAATCGGCAAGGTTGAGGTTGCGGTTGAGGTGGGGAGAAGAATGGGACGAACAAGTATCAGAAATAGCACTTCAGGGGCTCCAACAGCCCAATGGAAAGGCCAAACCGCGACAAGAAAGAATCCGAGAAGAAGATTTAGAAGAGTGATGGCTGAAAGGACAAGAATAGCTATGGTGAGTCTCTTGATGGCTCGATGGAAATGAGCCGAGGCTGGGACATATTCGATGTGAGCTGCATCAGCGCCCACATCGACGAGGAGCGGTGTAGTCTCGGTTTCTGCCATTGCCATGTAGTTGGGATAAGTGTATGTCGAGGTATGGAAAGATTTGAGGAGTTGACGAGGCCGTTGAGCCGAATGTTGTGGCGCGACCACGGGTTCTTTGTTGCGTCAGCACGGCAGAATCGTACCCCGGAGCGAGAAGGTACTTCCCCCTCGGCGTAATAGTTCCAAAACATATTCTAGTAAGTTCTACACTAGCAAGGGAATCATCCAATAGAACACATGGATTCTGCTAAAATACTACCTCTTCAAGTAAAGTAGGCTTTTTGTGTCTTGGAACTATTAGGCCTGATACGAAGTACATCGGAGCATTACCCCTGCAACTACGCCTTACTGAAAGCGGCAAAGCTGCACGGCTAAAAGTGGGGCCAGATTTTCATGAGTTGTGTGTTTTGGAAGAAGCCGCATTCGAAGCTTACTGTAGCGTAAGCGATATTGCTATAAGAACAAAGATTGAGATACTGACACAAACATTGGCTGGTGACTGGTCGCCCATTGTGAATGGTCACTGACAGCCTAAGCTCTCCGGTATCACGTGCAACCCGAGAGGATGAAATATTTTTGTTGCACATCGCAAAAGGGCGATTTGCACCAGGAAGATGCAGCCTAGTGGTGGATAGGGAAGTGCCGGCGTTGGGGCTGTGAGGTTGTCAGGACTGTCAATTCGTCAGGCTTTGTTAGGTCCTTTCACCGTGTCAAAGCCTTAACTTGATCATTTTTGCTATGTGCAACAAACGGCTAGTTTGAGAGAGGACGATGCGACGACCAGCGGTGAGCGATTAAATGGATGAATGTGAATTTGATTCATTATTTACTCGTCACGACGCTCAGTTCGTTGCATTTACTGTACTGAGGCCATTAGCGGGCTAGTCGACAAAACCGAGAAGCGAAAAGTGATTTTCTGATTTTTTGATTTTCGCGCCCGCATACCTCACTAAAAAAAGAAGTACAGTATATACGCCTTATTCTCGACTACTCCTAGCCCCCCCTTAGCTTGTATGGTCCGTAAGGCAAATCCCATGGATTACGAGATATATCTCTATTTCTCTTACTCTCTATATCTTCCATACTACCTATATTACTCGAATTATCTATATCTTCTTTATCTCCTTCTCCTCTAGTATCCTTACTCTCCTCTACTATAATCTCCTTCCCTATTATCTTCTAACCTTATATCTGTCTTTATACTTGCTTTCTATATTTTATAGGCAGTTGAGGCTTTGGTATAAAGGATTTTATAGATATAGAATAAGGCTTTCTAAACTTAGTAGAATTAGTATTAAGTTAATAGAAAGTATAGACTTTACTATTATTATTATATCTGTAATTTATATAAGTATTATTAAATTCGCCTTTTATAATTATATAATATTTGAAAGGGCCTCTTAGTCTTTTCTTATTACTATAAATAATATAAGCTTAAGAGAATTCGGTTCTATAAGTATATATTAAGCTTGCCTTCAGATTTGCCTTGCCTTTCTTTAATTCCTTTAGCTTCCTGCCCTAGTATAGCTCTATTTCTCTAACTTTAGTCTTATTATTAATTTACTTTACTATTTTAGTAGTATTATCGGATAATATAAAGAGATTAAAGTATTATTATAGAAAAGAAGGAAGAAGTTATATATAAAAAAGAGATTAAGAAATAGAGGGATTTATTAGTTAAATATATTAATAGGAGAGGATATTATAGATTAAATCTGAATTATTAGAAGATATATTATAAATATTATTTTTCTGTTTATTTATAGCTTTATTACCTTTTCTATTATTTTTGCCTTTATTAGAGCTATTACCTAAAGCTATATTTAATATATCTTTAATAAAGGAAAGCTTTAATAATAGTATTATATATTAGAATCGAAATTATTTTTAAAAGAAGATTAAGGTTAAGATTAAGGCTAAGATTAAAGCTAGTATAGCTATATTTTTATTATTTATTTTTAGGATATAAAGATATATATTTAATATAATTATTTAAATCCGATTAAATTTATAATAAATAATACTTAAAAATAGAAATATTAGTATTTAATAGCCTTAAATTAAATAAATTTAAATATTAAAAAAATTATAATTTTAGGTATTATAATTATAAAAATATAAATATAAATATTCTTTCTTTTATTAATTTATAAAAGCCAAAATATACTAATAATAATTAAACTATATTTGATTTATATAATTAGCTAATTTACTTTACTAATTATAAATAATTCAAGGTAATTTAAATTTCTTTAAATTTCTATATATAATTTATTATATAAATTTCTATATTTCTGTATTTAGTAATACTATAATTATAATTTTTAAATAAGAAGAATTCCTTTATTCTAGTATATATAATTATATTTATTTCTTATTTTTCGAATATATAGTTATTAAATTAGAGAGATTTAAGAATTCTAAATAATACTTTTTTTTAAGAAATATATATTTTTAATAAATAATAAAAGTAAATATAAAATTATATAATAATATAATTACTTTATATTAGTATCTTTATTTTCTATAAAACTATAATTCTATTTTATTTTTATTCTAAAACTTCTATTTTTCTTTTATATTTTTTCGATTTTACTATTAATATTAAAAGCTTCTATTTTTTACTAATATTTTCTTTATTAATACCTTTATTAATACTAAGAGCTAATATCTAATTGCTTTATAACCTTTCTTTCTTTTTCTAAATCTTTTTTCTAAATTCCTTCTTTAAATTCCTTTTTTAAATTCCTTCTCTTTTAATATTTCTACTATTAATATTAAAAGCTAGTATTTAACTATCTTATAATCTTTCTTTCTTTTTCCGAATTCCTTTTCTAAACCTCTTTTCTGAATCTCTCCTTCTTTAATACTTTTACTAATAATACTAAAGCTAGTATCTAACTACTATTTCTGGGTTATTTTTATCTAAAACTTCTATATTATAAGTCTTTAATTTACTTACTTTTTAGAAAGCTAAATTTTAGATCTCTTTTTTTTCTTTCTAATATTTTCTTTTTTCTTTTTCTAATATCTTTTATACCTTTGGGCCTTTTAAGAATATTCTCTCTCAAATCTCTAAAAAAGAAACTAACTTCTATTTAGATTTCTCTAAACTTTAATATCTTTTCCTCTTTTCTAATATCTCTTATACCTTTAAGCTCTTTAGGAATATTCTTTCTCGAACTTTTAAAAAAGAGGCTAACTCTTATTTAGATTCCTCTAAACTTTAATATTTCCTTTCTTTCTTTAATACTTATAAAAGCTTTCGGGCTATTACTAAATACTTCTATTTTTTATTTTGAAATATATACTAACTTATTATTATAGGAAATAGCCCTTTTTTTTCTAATCTTAATTTCTTTAATATATATTTCTTATTTTTAGGCTATTTAAATATCTTTCTATTTACTTTTATAAAATATATATTAACTTATTTTTTAGTTTCTCTTATCTTATTTTTCTTTTAATATTACTATATATATATTTAGTTAGTACTAGTTCTTATAATCTATAATTAGGCTTTCTATTTATTAAATATTCGGGTATTTTATTATATTTTTATTTTATATATTTTACTTTTCTTTTATTATAAATTAGAACTTAAATAGTATTTATTTTAAGTACTTATACTTTTAGATATATAAGACTTTTATAGATCTTTCGGGATTATAAACTAGTCTATTTTAATTTAGGAAAGCTTTCTTAAAAGTATTTCAGGAATTATAGTATAGATAATTCTAGTCTATTTTCTTTTTATAAAGTAAACTACTATTCTAAATCTATATAAAAGTTCTAATTATCTCTCGAGTTAAAATATAGGTATTTCTTATTTCTATTAAATTAAATATAAAGAATAGCAGGTATTTTTAGGCTAGACTATAGTACTAGTTAAGTACTAAAATTTCTTATATTTTATAAGATATTACTTATAGCTCGAGATATATTATATTTAATAGGGCTTCTATATCTAATTATTTTATACTATAATAAAATATCTTAGTATTATAGTTAGAAGAGTTCTATTTTATAATCTTATTTACTACTTATAGATTTTCTAGCTAATAAGTCTTAATTAATAGCTAAGAAACTTATTAGCTATTTTATCTAAAGCTTCTAGAAGCGGGAAATTACCCTAATAAAGACTTAGTATTAAAAATGAATTTAACTAATTAATCTAAATAAGGAGTTTATAATAGAAGTTTCTATATATAAGTAATTTTATATAATGAACTCAAGTTTCTATCTCTAGTTATATAAGTTATAATATATAATAAACTCAAAATTTTCTGGTTTATTAGAGCTTGGATTATTTTTAGAAGAATTAGTAAGCTTTTCTAAATAAACTTATTAAGGCCTTAGTTTTTAAAGATATTAGTCTAGTCTTTTTACTTCTTTTTTAGATAATAGTTCGGCTTTTAGGAATTATATGTAAATATTAGAATAAATAAGGAAATATATTATATATATTTTTTAGATAAATTAGAATAAAACCTATAGAATTCCTATAATAATATTAAATCTATAATACTAGCTAGTAAAAACTTTAATAACCTTAATAAGACTTGAATTACGAGTTCGGCCCTTAGATTTCCCGCTTAACTTAAAGATTAAATAGTCTATAATAGGTTATTTATTATAGAATATATTATTTTTTTTTTCTAAAAAGTACCGGATATTAGTAATAGTTTAAAAGCCCTAAGCCCTTGAGATTCTTTATAAGTTTCGGGCTTTAGGGCTTTCCTATAGCTAGCTAATTATATAGAATTATATAACTATATAAGTCTAGTATTAATATAAAGTAATTAGTAACTTTATATATAGATATAATATGGTTTTTAATATAGCTAGTTTAATATATTATATATCTATATATAAATACCTATAATTTTATTATTATAATATAATATATCCTTAATATATTTTTAATATAAAGATTCTTTTATAATCCTAAACTTTTAGAAGCCTTCTTTATACTAAAAATAGAATATATAATATAGTTTAGGTATTAAACTCAAAAGGTAAAGAATTATAAAGGCCCTAATAATTATAAGATTTTATAAATTTAG